GCGGCTGCCCAGCGACGCGACACCTCCGGCGGTCAGTCGTCGTCCAGATCTTCGCCCTCGGACTCCTCTCCGGTTCTCCGCTCGAACGCTTTATCTCTGTGCCGCTCCTGGATCTCCTTCATCTCCTCGGCGTAGCGGCAGAACGCTCCGCCGAATCTGCTCCAGGCTTTGAAGGGGATGGTGATAGAGTTCCTGTAGCTGGGCTTCACCTCGCTCACACGCAGAAACACGCCGTACTTGTTGGAGCCCACGTCGAAGAAGAACCGCTTGGAGTCCACCGCTATCGACGTGCCCTCGGGTAACTCCGCGTAGCCTCCTCCTCCTCCTCCTCCTCCTCCGCCGGAGCAGGCTAGCTCCTCGTCGTCGCCGCCGTAGTCGTCGACCAGCTTCGCCAGCGCGTCGCGGAACTCGATGAGACCCTGAGCGGGAAGAGCGATAGTTTGCCCGGACTGAACTCCTCCGCCGGGAACACCGAACCCGCCGCGGTTAACGGTCTGCCGGATCCGCAGGAATCTCCCGCGCTGGTTCTCCTTCAGGTCGAGGTAGTATTTGCGGTTTTCCCTCACGAGATACTCGCTCTTCAAGGCCCGTCTAGGCCCGCCGTCCTCGCCTCCGGAGGACTGCGCGATCTGCTCCGGAGTGCTGGGCCCGAGCTGGGCGTAGTGTTCGATGAAATCCCCGAAGTAGTCCCGGAACTCCGCCGCGACCGACATGGAAAGCGTCAGGCGGCTTTTGGAGCCCCCAGCGCCGACCTCGGCGATCTTGATGAACCTGCCCTTCGAGTTCTGCTTGACGTCCAGATAGAAGCGCTTGTTCTGGATGTCGAGGCGCTTGGACGCCAGCTCTTGGGTCTCTTGGTCCCTCTGGACCGCTTGGAACCCGCTTCCTCCGCCGCGCTCACTCCCGCTGTCCCCATCCGCCATCTTCTCCAGCACCCGAGCAAAGCTATTTTTTCCCACCCGTATTTCATCAGGTCCCGCCTTCTGACCCGAGAGCGTCCTGTGAATGGGCCGTAGCTCTGGGACGTCACCGCCTAGGAACATCCTGTGATTGGGCGGTTGGCGTGCCAGTCATTTATTCGCTTCTCCTATTGGATGGTAACCCGTCTGTCATCTGAGTAAACACCAAATCCAATCCCACCAGTGTCGATAACGCACTGTCACAAGCACTTTATTACAGATAACACTTCACTTATACTACTGCGGTTTTTACCGCCTTCTAGCCATTTAAATATGTGACCCTGGAGCACAAAACCAGTCATTACTGGAAATTGAGAT